GCTATCCATAACTATTCAGGTAAAGTGCAATTTCGAGGACGAAATTTCTTTTTAGAGGGGAAGAAATGTAACATCCCAAAATTTACATATTTTAAAACTTGAAAATAAAAGTAAATATATAAAGAATCTAAATTATTAAACAAAAGTTTATACCTTTGATGGGTGTTTTAACTATTAAACTCTACTAAAATAAATTACGGTAAAAAGAAAAAAAATGAACAATTGAATCAAACTATAGATAAATAAACTATATATCACCGAATAGCAAATGTTATGAAATGTGATATTTACTTAGTCAAATAATATTCATACGAAAATTTAATAAATTGAAGTGCAAAGACAAAAGTCAATATGTTACATTAGCTGACATAATTCTAAAATTATAAAATAATTATACACATGTTACGAAACATCTTATACCATGCATAACAAAACAAATATACATGCATAACAAACAAACCCATCTTTCTCATTCAAAAGTCCCATGACATTTGGCAATAACTCACAAAATAGAACAAAATAAATTGCCACTCTCAATACTTGGGATTTAGCCACGTAGCTATAGCATAAAACTATATTTAATTATAACTCCAGTACACCATTACAAATATCACATGCAATCGGCAGATCGAATAGAGCTCATGCATGTGTATTGTAAACCCAACAAAGAGATTTTTAGGAAGAAAGTAAAAATAAGAGAGAAACGAGAGTATAGAGAAGAGAACTGAGAAAGAGAGGAGGGAAAGGAGAAAAAAACTAGAGAAAAGGCTAAGGAGAAAAGTTTGTCAATGTTTAAGGTCTGTGTTCATTCCTTCCCCTAAATATATTTTAAATTATATTGTTGTTGTTTTAATTTTATTGATACATTTCAGTTTAAACATATTGTTTAGCTAAACTGCTATGTTTTAATAATTTGCATGCTGATCTATTATTTCTTTAAAGAATAACTATGTTTTACTCACAAAGTTAAAGACACATTACATGCTATAAATTTAAGGGAATGAATGGTAAAATGTCAGAAACAAAATGTGTCGGTGTTGAATTATCATGGACGTTTACTTAGTTCAAACATTATAAAATATAATGATAGAAATTTCAACTCATCAGTTACCACATGTATACTATGATGTAAAGTACGTAGACATTAATTTTAAATATATACAAATTACATGTGCATGATGTAATGGGTTACACATAAAAGTGAAAAGAAGTACTAGGTAATATTTATAATAGTGGAGATCGGGCTCAGCAAATACGATAGGTTTACATAACTCATGCACAACAACTTAATCGACTCCAGAACATTATTTATATAACTCGGAACATTGTTATGCTACATAAACTCAAATATATTACTTATATCTATTCAGATATAAGTAATTTTTGGTTGGTTATAATGATGATGTTATTTTAATTGGAAGCTGATAATCATAATAGTAATCATACATGCGTAATTCAAATAAATAAAAATAAATGGAATTCGAAACCTCGTTTCTGGATTCGGATAGGTTGGCATGCCAATAGGGATAAAAACACGGCCGTAGAATTTGATCAATGATTTCGGGTCCGTAGCTACCGAGTGGACAACACCCAAATCTTGATTTCGACACACGCGCGCTCCTATACGGGTCCGTAGCCACCGAGTGGACAGTACCCAAAATGTTCGTTTACGGGTCCGTAGCCACCGAGTGGACAGTACCCAAACGAACCCGGCCAGAGCCACCGAGTGGTCCGTGCCAAAATAGTTCTCTGATGGTCCGTAGCCACCGAGTGGACAGTACCAAAGATGAGAACGTCCCGTTTATCCAGTCCATTAAACTAAGGAGTAGAATTCCTGCAATATTAATAAAAGAATAAAAGTGTGAAAATGGGCAAAAATGATGTAGAATGAAAATGAGCAAAAGATGAAGATTGAGCAAATGAAATTTATGATGAGACAAGAAGAATAAGAATAATGTCGAATGGAATATTGATTTACAGTGAGCTATGATATTCCTCATGTGAAGTTTGACTATGATATGGAGTTGTGAAGATGAAGGCAGAAACAATGAAAGAAAATGTGGAAAATAGGAATTGAGAAAAATGAAGGAATGATATGAATATAAAAAAAAGACGTTAGTATGCAAAATGCAATATTCAATTGAAGGATTAGATTTTGTTCATGAATTATTTATTCTGAAATAAGCTAATGTTGAATACGAGAGACAAGAGAATAAATTAATATTTAGTAAGTTATGGTTTTATTGGAATGTTGTTCTATATGCTCTAAAGAAAATTTTCGAGATATTAACCACTCATTTAAATTAAGAGTATAACTTCAAATTGGAATATTATACATTCTGAAATATGTTGACATTAGTATTTAGAACAGAATGGAATATATTGATCTAGCTAGTTTGAAAGAAACGGCAAGTTTTAAAAAGCTTATCTAATAAATTTTGTGGTATTCCTGACATTTAAAGTTCAATACCTTAATGTAGCTAAACGGAATTTTATATTGAATCTGGTTACAAACTAATAATGAATTGAGATAGTTATGAGTATTAACTATCGAGATCATAACTAAAGAATTGATTTTTGTATTGAATAGTTACTTGAAACAAAATGTAATTTTATGAATCACATAAGTTAACAGGTAAAATCAATCTGGAGAAAAGTATAATTTTTCAATACATGTTATTTCTAATTGTTGAGTTATTTTGAGATATTTGATATTGAAATTGTATGGAGAAAGAATGAACACCACTAAGCAAGATTTGCTTAGCGCGTTGGATTTTTGTCCTTCGCGTAGGTACATACTACGAGGCAAAGTTCAAGGAGAAAAGCATTTGGGAGCAACCTGCCAATCAGCACAGAGTCACACTTGCATATTAGTCATATTACATTTTAGCCTGCATATTAATCATGTATTTAGTATAGTAATATAATGTAATAGCAGCACCAAACACTTACGTGTTATGTATAAAATATGAATGCTTCCGCAATTATGATATTTCATAAAGTTATTATCATTAGCATGTTTTTTTTTAAATTAAAGTAAATTTGGAATAATGAAAAAAATAATGAAAAGCTAGTCTGCGCTTTGGTGCTCCGGCACTGCGGGTAGCGCTCCCTACCCTAGCCTTCCGGGCCGGGTAGGGGGTGTTACAATTTGTGCAGCAACGTGACTCATGAAGACCCCCACCCCGTCACCCCTCCGTCGGCTTCCTCAGGTATCCTCTATCCCTTGACTTATTACGTAAATAACAACAAATTCTCATTTCCCCACCGAGCATTTCTTGCAGCAATTTCAGCTGATGTGGAACCTACTACTTACCGAGAAGCTATTCGTGATGATTGTTGGAAAGCAGCAATGCAAAATGAACTTGCTGCTCTTGAAAAAACAGGAACGTGGACCTTAACTAAGTTGCCTCCACACAAATCTGCCATACGATCAAAATGGGTTTACAAAATAAAATATCGCAGTGACGGAACTGTGGAACGTTATAAGACACGTTTAGTTATTTGCGGAAATCATCAAATTGAGGGTATTGACTACCATGAAACATTTGCTCCGGTTGCTAAAATGGTTACAGTTCGAACCATCTTAGCAGTCGCTGCTTCCCGTAATTGGGATCTTTATCAACTGGATGTAGATAATGTCTTTTTACATGGTGATCTAAATGAAGAAGTGTACATGCATCCGCCACCCTGATTTCGAAGTACAGCCTCTGGTCTTGTTTGCCGGTTACACCGCTCTCTTTATGGTCTCCGGCAAGCCCCCCAGTGTTGGTTCCATAAATTAACTACGGCCCTAAAATCATTTGGCTTCTCTCAGTCAAATGCTGATTACTCACTTTTTACATTACACAATGGGTCCGGTTCCCTTTGTGTTCTCATTTATGTGGACGATCTCCTTATTACTGGCTCTAATCCGGCTATGGTAGACCAACTCAAATGTTTTTTGAAACAATGCTTTCCCATTAAAGATTTGGGCAAATTAAAATACTTTCTTGGGATAGAAGTGGCAAGAAGTTCTTCTAGAATTTTTTTATCACAACGGAAATATGTTCTCGATTTTCTGGCCGAAACCGGTTTGACGGGCGTCAAACCATCTTCTTTTCCGATTGAACAAAATCACCGGCTTGCAATCGACACGGGCCCTTACTTTGATAACCCTGAGCGCTACCGGTGTGTCATTGGGAAACTCATTTATTTGAACTTGACCCGACCAGACATTAGTTATGCTGTTCATATCCTTGCTCAGTTTATGCAAAAACCACGTCTGGGACACTGAGATGCGGCAATTCGGGTTCTACGCTATCTTAAGTCCACGCCTGGACAGGGTATTCTTTTATCTACCAGTTCAAAACTTGAACTTGCTGGCTTTTGTGATTTTGACTGGGCCGGTTGCCCACTCACACGACGATCGGTAACAGGTTTTTTCATCCGCCTCAGGGACTCCCCGATTGCATGGAAAACAAAGAAACAACATACAGTGTCCCGCTCTTACGCTGAATCTGAATATCGCTCCATGGCATTTGTAACATGTGAACTTATTTGGCTAAAAAGTCTTCTCACGTCCCTAAATGTTCATAATCAGCAGTCTATTCCATTATATTGTGACAATCGTGCAGCCATTCACATTGCGTCCAATCCGGTCTTCCATGAACGCACAAAACACATTGAGATAGACTGTCACTTCCTCCGCAATCATGTTCAGACTGGTCTTATTTGCCCTAGACATCTAAGCACAAATGAACAATTCGTTGACATTTTTACAAAAGCTCTTGGTTCTCATCAGTTTACCTATCTATTATCCAAGTTGGGCATTTGCAACCTCCATGCTCCAACTTGAGGGGATGTACAAATTCAAATGTATATTATAGGGCCATGTATATTATCATCACATGTATTATTATTGTATTTTAACTAGCTTTATATTTCAACACCCACATGGGATGCTATGTACGTAGGATATTAGTTCTTTATAAGAATGTACTCTTCCTCGAGAAATAGTGAAAAAAAACAATTGCAATATTTGTTTCCTTGGTATCATTATTTTACTTTAGCAGTAACTGAAGAAAAGCAACTGTAGGAGGAGAAGGAGGTCCGGCTATCGGAATCTATCTGGGAACCACATACTCTTGTGTTGGAGTATGGCAGCCCCAAAATGATCGTGTCTAGATCATCACCAACGATTTAGGCAATCGTACCACACCGTCATGGGTTGCCTTCACAAAACTCGAGCGTCTTATAGGTGAAGCTGCCCAGAACCAGGCCGCAAAGAATCCAACCAATACCATTTTCGGTTTGAATTTTGATTTCTTTCTCTGTGTACTCAGTATTTAACTTTTTTTCTTAGCATTTTATATAGTATTGTTAAACCTCCACCAATTTGTGGGAGAGCCGTTTAGACATTAAAATTTTGTCTGTTCAAGTATTTTTGAGATTCTCCTCTAAGTTACATTTCATTTGAACATGTATTTATACCATGAACTTAACAGCCCATCAAATTTGGGAATGCAAAAGCCTTGGACTTGATTATAATTTTAGCAGCTTATAATACACTTGCTGTTTGGTTGTTGACTTTGTTGTTTATGAATGACAGATGTGAAGAGGCTGATAGGTAGAAATTTTAGTGATGAAACAGTACAGAATGACATGAAGCACTGGCCATTTAAAGTCATAGCTGGCCGTGATGCTGGTATTGGAGAGAGACCTATGATAGCTGTGACTTACAAAGGTGAAGAGAAGCACTTTGCTGTTGAGGAGATATCCTCAATGATCCTCCAGAAGATGAGGAATATTGCAGAGGCATACCTTGGCAAACAAGTCAAGGATGCTGTTATCAATGAGCCCACAGCTGCTGCAATGGCCTATGGTCTTGAAAATAAAGGAACGAAAGGTGGTGATTTTGATTTGAAGAACATACTGGTTTTTTATCTTGGTGGTGGCACTTTTGATGTTTGTATTGTCACAATGGAGGGGGATGTGTTTGAAGTCCAAGCAGTTAATGGAGACACTCATATTGGTTGAGGGGATTTCAACAACAGAATGGTTAGCCACTTTGTAAAGGAGTTCCAAAGGAAGCACAAGAAAGATATAAGCTCAACCCCTAGGTCTCTGGCACGGTTGAGAGCAGCTTGTGAGAGGGCCAAAAGAAACCTCTCTTCCGCTTTTGAAACGGCTATTGACATCGACTGTCTGTTTGAGGGAATCGATTTCTCTTCAAAAATCACCCGCTCATTATTTGATAAATTGAACCTGGATTTGTTCAATGATTGTATGGATTTAGTTGAAAAGTGTTTAGAGGATGCCCGGATGGAGAAGAGTGATATTCATGATGTTGTTCTTGTTGGTGGGTCTACCCGAATCCCAAAGGTTCAGGAGTTGTTAGAAGCCCTTTTTGAGGAAAAGAAGGTCTGCAAAAGTATAAACCCGGATGAAGCGGTTGCATCTGGAGCAGCTTTTCATGCTGCCAAGCTGACTGGTATATGTATTGGAGTGAATAAGGATGTTGTACTTGTAGATGTTGCTCCTTTATCTCTTGGTATTGAGTTAAAAGGTGGTGCCATGTCTGTTGTGATCCCAAGGAATACCCCCATACCTACGAAGATCACAAGGAAAGACTACAAAACTTCAAATGACAACCAAACCCGTTGTCTTTTCTCAGTGTACGAGGGAGAGATGCCTGTGGCAAAAGACAACAATTTTCTGGGAGAATTTTGCCTGACTGGTGTCCCACCTGGTAATGCTAAATTCAATGTCAGTTTTGAGATTGATTGTGATGGCATATTGATTGTGACAGCAGAACTAGTAGGCAGTGACAACTGGAACCAAATCATCATAACTAGTCACAGCGGGAGATTATCAAAAGAGGAGATTGATCGTATGATTGAGGAGGCGGAGGAGTACAATGCTGAAGATGAGGAGTTTAAGAAGGCATCCATGGCAAAAAATGAATTGGAGAATTACATTCTCTATGCAAAAGATATTCTGAGAGTCTGTGGAAAGAGGGTGGGAGCGCAAGACAGGATAGCTCTTAAAGATGCAGTCAATCACACTGTTGAATGGTTAGAGTGGAATGAACAGCACAGCGAGGCTTTCGAGTTTGATAACATGAGAGAGGAGATGGAGAGCATTTGCGAGTCTATAGTAACAAAGATGAAACCTCAGTAGGGAAGGCATATGTCTCTTCATTAGATGGTTGAGGCTTATGAAGCTTGATAATGGAAAATCATTTAACCTTTTGGTATTTCATAATGCTAATGTTTTCTTTATTCAGTGTGCTGAATGTTGAAACTCGTTTTTGTTTTTTAATATCCTTTTTGTATTGATCTGATGCAATGCATAAGAGTTGACTGTTTTGTTCATTCCTGTAACATCCTACTCTGTGCATCAATTTACAGTCTTGCTTATTATATGCCTCAAAGTTTTAGTATCCCTTTTCCTGGCACTTTTGCTTTTCTTCATTATCTGGGACCGTAGTGCTTTCTCCATTTGACAAAGAATAATATTGGATCTATATTATTGCTTGGAAAATTGCAGGATTAAAACTTAGCTTCATTTTAAAAAAATAGGAGTTCCTAATTTTTCTTTCGTAATAAGACTTATATGATGATCTTATGTTTGAAAAGAAATAAAGAATGGTTATTAGCCCAAATTACTCTTTGGTCCTGTTTGGTTCAACGGAGGGGAAGGAAAGGGAGAGGCCTAGGAGAGTAGAGGAGGGAATGGGAAGGAAGGGTTTTGATAAACAACTGTGTTTATTTGGAGGAAAAGGGAAGAAAGTTTGATAAAATGAATTTCTTAATTTACACTTATTTGATAGATTTTTTTATAAAGCTGGATAGATATAAAGATTTTAAATATTACTACCTAAGTTCATAAATAAATAAAAATACATTTTAAAGTATTTTTTTAATTCTCTAGTTTTTGAATCTTTTTTTTTATCGTCAACACAGAAATTTTATTAATTCAATAAGTCGTTAGCCAGATGGCTAGAAATACAATCGGGAATATAATTATAATCAACACAATGATCTGAGATGGTAACATGTGCCTTAGCTAGAGCATGGGCAACATGATTCGCAGATCTTTGACAAAAATATATTTTAAAGTTACTCTTTGTTTCCAAACTCCTACGAATATAATCAATAATAAGGTGAACATATGATGATCCTTCGTTCTTTCTCAGATTCTGAACCACCGTAAGTGCATCAGTCTCTATCCCCACTTGCTGCCATCCTGCCTCGATCGCGCCCAAAATTGCATCACGGATCCTCATTGCCTCTGTTTCCTCGGCCGGCCATCCCGCACTAATTCTGGTACCTCGGGCTTTAACGAAATTACCTTCATCATCTATAGCCACCCACCCCAAGCTGTAATGCCTCCCGCTTGGTTGACTGCCACGTCCACATTAATTTTAATAACTCCTTGCATCGGACTCGGCCATTTTGGTACCTCGTCATTTACCACACTTACCTCCCTGCCCTCAACCTTTTCATGAACATCCTTCCATGCCGTCATCATGCTGGCCGCCGCTCTAATCACGGTGGAAGCTTCCAAACTTTGATCTTTTCAAACCGCACCGTTTCTCCTCTTCCAAATGCTCCATAAAGTAGAAATAAACAAGCTGCCACAATACCCCTTGTCCGGCGTCTCAATGTTTCGCCTAACCCATTGAAGAAACAAGAGATGTTGCCCGCCTGTCGAGACCCCAGCGAGCTGCCACACCTCCTCCACTTTCGTACAAATTCTCAATGCATGGTCATCACTCTCCTCCGGTGAACCGCATAGCTTGCATTCGCCCACAATATTCACACCCTCTTTTTAAGGTTGTCCGCCGTCGGTATCGTTTCATTGAACATTTGCCACGTGAAATATTTAAATTTTGGCGGTACCTTCAGACCCCATAAATATTTCCAGCCGTGCCAAGCTCCCTGTTGCAAATCCCCCACAAGAATTCTATAACAACTCTTAACTGAGAAAATTCAATTATTTTCACTTGTCTACCAAAAGCCATCTTTCCTGCTAAAGGAATGCTCAAGATCTGGTCTTTATCAGCCTGATTAAAGATGCTATTAATTCTTGCCTGATGCCACTTCTTCCTCGAACTATCACATAAAGCCGCCGCATTCATATCCTGAATTCCAACCGGCTTTTCAGATGTAATCTTTCCTGATGCCATTCCTGGTAACCAAGCATCTGCCCAGACTTGAACATCAATCACATTCCCCACTCTCCTTCTAATATTATTCTTTAAAACTTCTTGTGTCTCGAAAATGCTTCTCCATATAAAAGAAAGATTATTCCACAATTTAGCATTAAGAAAACTAGAATTAGGGAAGTACCTGGCATGTAAGACTCGTTTCATAAGACTGCTCGCATCAGTAATAAGCCGCAAGCCCTTTTTCGCAAGCATACCCAAATTAAAATCCCTTAATTTCCTGAAGTCTAGGCCATCAGCCTCTTTCGGTTTGCACAACGCCTCCCACTTTCTCCATCTCAGCCCTTTTTGATCAAATAACGAACCTCTCCACCCGAAGGCGTTCATCAATTTTTCCACTTCATCAGATCCTTAGGCAATAAAAAAAACCATTCATAGCATAGAAACGCATAGCCTGGATCACATTCCTCAAAAGAACTGCTCGTCCTGCTCTGGATAAAAATATATTTTTCCAATTTTTAATCCGATTAAAAATACGGTCCCTCAAATAGCCCAGAATCACTGATTTATTCCTCCCTACAAGTCCCGGTAACCCCATATATAAATTGTGGCCGCTCTCTCTCGGTATACCCAATTGCTGGCTACAAAAATCTTTAAACTCTTCTCCCACATTCTGGCTGAAAGCTAACGTGGACTTATTGAAATTAACCATTTGATCCGAAAGCTCTTCGTATTCACGCAAGATATTCTTCACCGCAGCACATTCAGCATTTGATGCTTTAAAGAAGAGGAAACTATCATCAGCAAACAACAAATGAGAGACCCGAGGTGCTCCCCTACAGACCGCTTCCTCGTCCACTTCCCCTCTACTCTCGGCCCGCCGTAGCTTTAACACCCCGATTTTAGCGATCTAGTTACATTAATCTTTTATTTTATTTAGTCAGTTAAATAAGTTTATTTTGTGAATAATGTGATTTATTGTTTGATCATGTGTTATTCTGGCAGATAACGTTGACCGGTAAGCTCTAATAATTTTAAGTGGAGAAATAAGTAATGTTTTAAAGCGTAGTCAGTTTATTTTGACATAGAAGATAACTTTTAACGTGTTAGAAGACCAATTAAGTTAACCAAGCCTAGGTAAATATGTTTAAGATTGAAATCCCTAAGGAGATTTATGCATAAATACATTTCACCATATAAACCCTGAAGCTCTCGAAATTTTTTCCATAGCAGTCCGTTCTCTTCTTTCTCTACTCACCGAAATATTCCTTTCGAACGCCGGTATTCAATTCGTTTATCATTTCGGTCACATCTGGTAAGATTAATTTTTCAGTCCTCAATGTTTTTCTTTGTCTTTGTTGTTTGCTGGAGGGGGGTGTTAGCCGTATGATTTATTTAGGTTGTGCAAATTTCACTTCTATGATATGTGAAGGGTTTTTATATAATTCAAGTGGTGTGAAGTTAAGGTATATTTGGTGTAGGCTATCCTCTCATATATATTTTCTTTGCTGAGTTTTTGAGTTTAAACTGGTGGAGCTCAAATTTCTAATTAGCTTTTGGTTAATAAGGTTAATGGATGTGGAAACGGTTGTCCTTGCAAATGGTTTTAGCGCATAAATCTCAGATTCCAACTAGCAGGTTCTTTTTAATAAAAAGGCTAGGGAACAAATTTCTATTTAATATTTTGATGGGGGCTGTTCTGGTTGTTCTTTTATTTGAATAGTAACCGCAAATTTGGTCAGCTACATGATGATTTTTCTAATGATTTTCCTAAGATAAGAAGATTGTTTTCTTAGTGGCAATTTACTGGATCACGTTAGTTGGTGGGTAGCAGCAGCAAGAAATCAAAATTTTAAGTGTTAGTTATGGAGTAATTGTTTCATAGTTAAGCTTAATGAGTTTTACCGAATTGCTGGAACTCCAGTTAGAAAATTTTCATTTGTCTAATAGCACCTTTCAATAAAACTAGTGTTATGCAGTTCATTGAAAGTCAACAAAGTCTGATTTAATTATTATTAATATTATATTATATCTACTTAAAGACTTTTAAGAAGAGCTTGCCGGAAGACGTTATCAAGGTGACACACTTATTTGAGTAATTTGAGTTCAGCCTCTATCAGGTAAGTTCACTACTACCTGTACATGTTTATTCAACCAAATGAATGAAAGAACGAAGTCTGGTTGATTTTTAGTAGATGATTTTAGACTATTTGCTATTATGTGAACTTGGTGAAGTATTTGATGAATTATTTTATTTGCTGAGTTAAGTTATATTTATTATCTGGCATAGTCAAGATTTTGTTAGTACTATTATTTTGAGATTTAATGATGTTTTTGGTCAAACGTCAACATAAAAAAAAACTAATATTTAAAGTGAAAGAATATGTGATATGTACTCGGGAACAAGTTCCCACAAAGTTGTCGGAGTTTCAGAGTTTCAGAGAGTCCGATATGTTTAGTCGGTCGCTCCCCTGAGCTGTCGGATTGGCGCATTTGAGTACATATCACAGGCCCACAGTTAAAATTAGTCACAAAGAGTTTTACAGAAAGTTTAATGAGATCTCTTTCAGAAAGGTTTTTGAGAGTTGTTTTTTAGATCTCTTCAAAAAGTTTTACAGAGATGTTTTGAGAAAGAAATTTTGAGATCTCTCCGGCAGTTTTGATAAATTATTTTTCGAAAATAATTTCTATTGAGATCTCTCTCTCAGAATTTATTTGAGAAGTTAGTTGTTAGTTATTTGTTCAGTGCATGCTTATAGCCTAAATTTATCTATTGATAAATTGGCATAGACTTCTAGATATTTTTGTGGATCCATAGTGACTTACTAAGCGTAAAGCTTATCCGTATTCTTTCTTCGCATGTACAGATAATAAAGGTAAGGCCAAGACCTAGGAAGATGACAAGGGAGTGGAACGTGTGCCACAATGAGTTAACGAGAACGACCTTGGGGGTTTCTAGATAGTTATAATTTTATTTCAGTATTTCAGTTCTTATAATTAAGAGATTGTTATTACCTTATTTTATTTGAGGATTTGAAGTTTGAATAAATTTCCGGATCCAGGTGGTTATCACATTTGCTGGTGATAACTAGATTTTATTGAGTTTTTAATTGGAGTTATATTTTAGTTATGTTTGAGTTTTTATCAGGGTTATTTCTTAAACACACGGCCGTTATATTACAGTTTATTTTTAAAAGTAGTGTGTTAGTGTAACGTTCTCTTTAACCTTGAGAGGGGCGTTACAGTAGCGCCGCGCTTAACCCTTCTGCAACCAGAATAAATAAATAAATATGAGGATAGAAGGTCCCCCTGTATCATCCCCCTTCTTGGTATAATTGGTACCAGAAAATCTTTATCAAACTAAATATAATATATAACTGTAGAAACACAGAGCATTATAATATTTACCCACCTCTGACTAAAGCCCATTCGGATCATAATATGTCTGAAAAACTCCCAGCTAACTCTATCATAAGTCTTGCTCATGTCAAGCTTAAGAGCCACATAACCATCCTTCCCAGAATTCCTGCGTTATAACAAATGTTAGGTTTCAAAAGCCAGAATAAGATTATCCACTATCGATCTGTCTGGGATAAATGCACTTTGATTTTCCCCAACAAGGCCCCCTAACATTCCTTTAAGTCTATTGGCTATAACTTTTGAAAAAATCTTATAAAATACAATTTCAAGGACAATAGGTCTCCAGTCCCTATATTCTCCGGTTTATCCTTTTTAGGAATCAACGCGATATTCGTCACATTAGTTCACTAGGCAATGTACCTGTCTCGAAAATATTCGTACATAGCCGTGACACTTCAGGTCCTACAATATCCCAGAATTTCTGAGAAAATGATAAGTTCATGTCATCCGATCCCGGAGCCTTATCTAGATGTATATACAAAAATTGCAGCCTTTACTTCCTCAGGTTCAATAGCCCTTAACAAAATCATGTTCTGAGCATCTGTCACTTGAGTCATGTTACCCAGGTTCCCCATATCAGCTTTCTTGGTCCCCCTGGGCTCAAAATAATCTCTCACCATCTCCTCAATTTCCCCCCTATCTGCAATCCAAGACCCGCCCACCGCCCTTAATCCCATCAATTTATTCCTCTTGTGTCTTTGTTTCACAATATTATGAAAAAAACGGGAAATAATATCCCCTTCTTTCAGACAGAATTCCTCAGCTCTCTGTTTCCAGTATAAGTTCTCCTTCTCCATCAGTGTCTGTATAAAGATTTGACTCTAATGAATTTTGTCAGGCTGCTCATGTCCTCTCTCCCCCTCAACCATGCCAACCTTTTTGTAGGCTGTTATTTGATGCCTAAAACCCTTCGGTCTATGGCCGTCCCACCTGAGCAATTCTTTCCCACTAAAGATAATTCTGTCACTGACTGCCAGATGCGAGCCGACACTCCATCTGCTATTAACCACAACACGGCATTCTTCTTCTTTTAACCACATATTTTCAAATCTGAATCTTCTTGGCTTTCTGCTATGAATTGTTGGATTAAACTTAATTCATAATGCCAATTGTCATCCATGGTAGGGAATTGTTTTCTGCCAAATCACGCAACATGTTCCCTGCTTCCCTCCGCCTCCGAGAACGCGTAATAACACATTAGCCACCATGCCTTAAGGTTTCGAGTCTCAACCTCTAGACTTTATAGGTCTGTAGATTGAGCCCGTTACAATAGGCTTGCATAAAAGATAAATGGACTCCTAACATTAGGATGGCCTGGTCTATTTACCTAATCTAATAACAATACAAATGCAACTATTTTAAACACGAGTGGACACCATAAAATATTCTCTAACAATATTTTTAATGGAACATGTCTTTCATCGAAGAAGAAGGTTTACAGAATGATAAGGAATATTTATTGAGCGTAAAACTTTCTTCTGACCCCCACTTACAATGATACGCGCAAGGAATGTTCAGGAGATGCGTGAAAGCTGTCACATCACATTCCCCTTAAGACAATACTTATTATATGTCTAATGATACTAGCGCAAGGAATGTTCAGGAGATGCGTGAAAGTTGTCACATCACATTCCCCTTAAGACAATACTTATTATATGTCTATGGAATAGGGTGATGATTCATAACTAGGTTGATTGGGCCTTCATTAACTTTAATAATAACATTAACAATAATAATAACGATACTACTAATAATAACAATAATATAACCGATAACACTTGGCCACACAACAATATGAATTTAACTGAAGAAAATAGAAGTTATATATTATTGTAAATGAGATCGAATACATTAAACTCATTTTTACAAACTAAACCATGTTTCATCACATAAATTTCATAGTAAAGAAAGTCACCCAAATAAATATGTGCGGGTTCCATATATTTTTACTTTACAATATTCAAAATAATTGTAATTATGAGATTTATTTAATAGTGTTTCTGGATTTGAAATGTAATAATGTTTATATTTGTCCAAGTGTATTCATGTGATTTTTAAGTTTGGTGGTACTTGAACTTGACGTCTTGATTTTGTACTATGATATCAACCCTTTGTCAGTATCAAATAACAACAATTTTCCTATTTTATTTGCTAAAGTAAGTTTAAACTTCATATTTGAAGTGATTAAAGCTTTTTGCAAATTGTGCTTTTTTGACATTTTTGTGTGGTAGAAACTAGAAAGTAAATTTTGCTTATTCAGCTTCACTTGATTTTTTTATATAAGAACCAAAGTTACCAAACTGATTTAGGGGTGTTTGAAATTGATTCTGTTTCTGCTTCTTTTTTAAAAGCAGAAGCAGAATCAGTTTTCAGAAGCTGGTTACCTCAGCTTTTAAAAAAATTGATTCTAGGAGTAAAATTGAGTACCAGAATCGCTTCACTACTTTCATCCAAACACTTCAGCTTCTACTTCTGCTCCCTAAAGAAAGAAAAGAATCACATCCAAACACCCCTTAATAAGTTACTTAGTATGTATGTTTTAAGAAGCAGTTTCAAGAATCACATCCAAACACCCCTTAATAAGTTACTAAGTACTACTACCTCCGTCCCACTAAGATTGGGACATGAGAAGGTGGCACGGTTATTAAGAAAAGTGAGTTTGTGTGGTTGATATTAAATTGATAAAGTAGGAATGATTTAGAGCCACACAAACTTTACCAAATTTGGTATGAGACAATCTTAGCGGGACTTCCCGAAAAGGTAAAATGGGACAATCTTAGCGGGACGGAGTAGTATGTTTTTTTATAACGATTCCATTCTTTTCATACATTGTACTACGTATTAGGTACGTTGGTATTAGAGTTGGGTCCACTGAATCGCCATAGAAAGTTGCCACTCAATCGTTAGACTGTTGGAGACTTTTAACGAGACTTTTAACGTACTCTTCATCTATATACATACTCGTCTTCAGGCTGATCTTTTTTGCACGCACGCTTCGGCTAGAAACTTGTACTCCCTAGTCCGTACAAGCTAAGCCGCCCTGGGTTCTCTCCTGGCTGCGTGTCTTCTCAGTCCGGTCAATTTTACAACTTACAAGTAAACACGGAGAGAAGAGAAGTCGAAGAAAATGGCAGAGAACGGAAGCAGAGCAACTTCCGCCGAAGAAGGTCCGGCGATAGGAATCGATCTGGGGACCACATACTCTTGTGTTGGAGTTTGGCAACCCCAGCATGACCGTGTGGAGATCATCGCCAACGATTTAGGCAACCGTACGACGCCGTCATGGGTTGCCTTCACAGATATTGAACGCCTCATCGGTGAATCTGCCCAGAACCAGGCTGCAAAGAATCACTCTAATACCATCTTCGGTTGGTTTCTCTTCTTAAACACTCAATTAGACTTTGCCAATTTGGTTGCACCTTATTTGTTGTACCAAAAGTTGTGTTACTTTCCTCTGCACAACAGCTTGGTAGAGTGGCTCATGCAGACTTAGGATGTTTTCTTTTGGACACACTTAGGATGTTTTTTTTGGACTGAAATTTATAGGTCTCATCTGATTTGGTATGGTCTGTTTAAGTATGATCTGGTTTGGTTTGCTTAAGTCTTGTTTGAGAATGAACACAATCCAAAAGAAAACATGCTAATCAGTTCTATACATCACCAATGCATTTGATAAAAGAAACTCCATTGTGTTGGAAAATGTTTCAACTTTGGAAAATGTTAGAATAACTCTCAAAACTTAAAGCAATGTTACAAACTTTTTGCACTATGTTTTAGGGTAAATAAACATTTACCAATAAACCAAACCTGCCATAATTCTCATTGTTTACTGTACATGAATTACAGATGTGAAGAGGCTGATGGGTAGAAAATTTGGTGATGAAACCGTACAAAATGATATGAAGCACTGGCCATTTAAAGTCATATCTGGCCATGATGATGGCAGTGGACAGAAACCTATGATTGCTGTGCTTTATAAACGTGAAGAAAAGTTATTTGCTGCTGAGGAGATATCTTCAATGATCCTCCAAAAGATGAAGACTGTTGCAGAGACTTACCTGGGAAAACAAGTGAATAATGCTGTGATCACTGTTCCTGCCTACTTCAACAATTCCCAGCGTCAAGCAACAAAAGATGCAGGTCTCATTGCGGGACTTAATGTCTTACGTATCATAAATGAGCCCACAGCTGCTGCATATGCCTATGGTCTTCACAATAAAGAAACTGCAAATGCTGATTCTGCTTTAAAGACCATTCTGGTCTTTGATCTTGGAGGTGGTACTTTTGATGTCTCCATTGTCACAATGCAGAAGGGCGTGTTTGAAGTCAAAGCAGTTAATGGTGACACTCACCTTGGCGGAGGAGATTTCAATAACAGAATGGTGGCCCACTTTCTTGAAGAGTTCGAGAGGAAACACAAAAAAGATATAAGGGGAAATCCTAGGGCTCTTGCGCGGTTAAGAGCAGCTTGTGAAAGGGCCAAGAGAAACCTCTCTTCAGTTGTTGAAACGTCTGTTGACATTGAGTGTCTGTTTGAGGTCATTGATTTCTCTTCGAGCATTAGCCGTGCACGATTTGAGAAGATGAATATGGATCTGTTCAACGATTGCATGGAGACAGTTGAGAGGTGTTTGAAGGATGCAAAGATGGAGAAGAGTGATATCCATGATGTTGTTCTGGTTGGTGGGTCAACCCGAATCCCAAAGATTCAGACTTTGTTACTAGACCTCTTTCAGGGAAAGCATTTATGCAAAAGCGTTAACCCAGATGAAGCAGTTGCCTATGGAGCAGCTTTTCATGCTGCATCCCTGAATGGTGCCTCTTTGGGTGTGTATAAGGATATTATCCCCTTGGATGTTGTTCCTTTATCTCTTGGTATTAAGTTGCATGGTGGTGAAATGTCAGTTTTCATTCCAAGGAATAGTCCCATCCCCACAAAGATAGTAAAAGACAACTTTGCAATGCCTTCAGACTACCCTACCACTTGTAGGATTGGGGTGTATGAGGGAGAGATGCCCATAGCAGAAGACAACAACTTCCTGGGCAAATTCTTTCTCCATGACATTCCACAACTACCCAAAGGTGATGCTAGGGTCAACGTTAGCTTCGAGATTGATACCAATGGAATCTTGACTGTGTCTGCAGAACTAGCCGGGAGTAGCAACAAGGACCAAATCACAATAACCAATCACAGCGGAAGGTTGTCAAAAGAGGAGATTGACCGTATGGTAAAGGAGGCAGAAAGTTATAAGGCAGAAGACGAGGAGTGCAAGAAGTCACGTGAAGCTAAAAATGCTCTGGAGAGTTACATTGACTACGCGAAGGTCATTTTGAGAACATGTCAATCCAGGGTCGGGAGGGAAGACATGTTAACTTTGAAGGACACAGTGGAGAAGACTGAACAATGGCTACAGTGGAATAACCTTCTTAGTATTGCTCGCAAATTTGATGAAAAGAGAGTAGAGCTAGAGATCATATGTGAGTCCATTGTTTCAAAGGTGCACCCTCGGAAGGGAAGCCACACTGTTGACGAGCCTTACACCGTTGAGCTGGTGGAGTAGCGGAGGCTGATGAAGGAGGGTATAGAGCTTGAAAACCTTTTTTGTTTGACAACATTATGACCTCCAGGGAACATATCCCTGTTAGCTTAACCCTCGCATTTTCCCCTTCGTTGCTGTATGTTGACCCATTGTTTCGTGTTTAAAACGTGTCTTCTAGTAGGCCTTGTTTATTTATCCTTATGCTATGTTGCTTAGCTCTAGTTTTAATGTGCATTTACCTACTTTTTGGCTCAGATTCCCTCTTGTGTTCGTTGTGTTTTCCCTAACGGCTTTGCCATTTTGTAGACCAATTCTCGCTATGGCTTGTGGTTGTGGTTAGTTTAGTGATTTTAAATGGGGTTGGAGTGTCTTGTGCAGCAGCACCTTCGTTGTTCTTCATCCTAAGGTTAACAGGTGTACTCTGGTTGGTAGGCTTCATTAGGAGCCAGAGCAGGATCTGTTTGTGCTACGAATGATAAAGTAATTGTGGACATACAAGGACCAACCATTGATTAAATAATACTCTTAGGATACGGGGTATTATATCTTAATATTATCAGCAACGTGTTAGTGAATGTAAAGAGTAGACGTAATTAATACACAAATAAAATTTTCAAACTAGTACGAAATATATTTTGGAATAAGAAGAAATAAAAATTATACTCCGTAATAAGCTTTCCGCACTCTACATACTTTGAAACACTTTTTTGTGACTCACATTCATATAATGGTCAATTTGTTCGTCATATTCACCACAAATCAATATTTTCAAAACACTCGAGAAATGATGCAATCAGACAAAATGTGAAACTAACACATATTAAAGAGAAGATGTGACATCCTCTTGTTTGTCAATTACGGGGAAAGGATGGATTTACGGGACTTTTTTGCTCTCATTCCCAAAATACGAATGTCAGAAATAGGGTACAATAATACGGGAAACGGGTAGTGAAATCCGACTTTTGTAGGGTTGCATGCGGGTGCTTCCACGCTTTCATTAGTGCGTTGTTTTTAATATAAATGGAGCATGTGTGGGGACAAGCAAAGTCGGATTACTCAAATCCGTATAAAGCATTTATTTACTTTGGCTTCCAACCTTGCATGCGTCAGAAGTTAGTGTATGTGTCAAGGTTTTTTAAAAAACTCGGATTAGTAAAATCCGACTTCTTGGTGCGCAACTCCATCAGTAACTCGAAGAAACTGCTCTCTCATTGGCCAATTGAGAAGCACACGGATTGTGCTTTCCCATTCCCTATTTCAGCTCTAAGATTTTATGAAAAATATCTGAACCCTTCAATTATGTACGGTAGTTCACCCTCCAACCACAACATTTACCTCTGTAAATACCTTCAACATCATATTTAAAACACTACAAAAAAACAAATTCAACTAGACAAAATTATTGAGTATTCTTGCTGATTTTAATTTTTTGTTTCTTCAGATTGAGGTTAGAAATTTAATAATATTTTTTATTTTTTTTTGCAATTACATGTTTGTACTTATTTTATTATGTTAATCTCAATATTTAGAAAATTTTAATAGTAATATGACGTACACTTTGTCGTGTGTGCACTCAAAGTAAATCGATACTAACAGTTATACGTAGTATAGGTGAAGTAGAGTTCGTATCCGCAGGGAAAGGAATAATTTATCTTTTAAATGAAAGGAGTACATAAAGGGGGGTTTTGATTGTTGAGTGATTTAATTAAATTAAACACGAAGATGAACGAGTTATATGGGATTAAATTCAAGAATAAAAGGGACTTGGTCTTGCTACTTTCCACTTATTGATATATTTTAGTCGATCATTGTTATATCTATAACTTATCCCCTCTCGAATACTCAATCGCGGAATATCTCCAATTCATCGAGGGTAGTTATTAACAACGACCGTTCATTAATAACCCTTACTATTAATCAAATATAGAACAACGCCGTATACCGATATAATAGTAGCATTTAACCTCAACTCCTAGATGAAATCAATTAAGATTGATAACCTCAACACAACGGTTTCGGTTTAACCAACAAATTAATCCCTCTTAAGTTTATTAACCACGACCGTGCATTAATAAACCGAAGTTACTTACTTGTGAAACCATCAACGTTTAAACATCGGTTCGTTGATCGTTTCTAGTAAATATCACGAAATTTATTAATTCTTGTACATATTATCGAAATCAATTAAACTCAAAACACTTCATCATAAAAATATATCTCCCCGAGTATAAAAGTGATTGCAACTATAAATTTTGCTTTTTGAAAAAATTCCTATCGTTTTTGAGTGCCAAAAAGTATTACTTCAAATACTCCCTCCGGTTTTTAATAAACTTCACACTTTCCTTCTTGGGACGGTCTAAAATAAACTTCACACTTCCTTATTTCCTTTTTTGGCAAAGAAATCTACATTAAAACTGTGCCAAACAGTGCTAAACAGTGTTTCAACAGTGCCAAACAGTGTCTCTACAGTGCCAAACAGTGTCAAACAGTCCCTCAACAGTGTACTCTACAGTAAAGTCAAATTTCTTTCCTTATTTTGTGTGAAGTCAAACTGTGAAGATTAAAAAAAACCGGAGGTAGTACTTTATTACTCCCTCCGTTCTTTTTTATTAGTCCTTCTTTCCTTTTTGGGACGTTTTTTTATTTGTCTCCTTTCCCTTTAAGGAAAGTTTTTGAGAAAATATCCCTACTTTTATTACTTTTACCCCCACTTACTTTTTACAAACTATTTTCTCTTTCCTACTTTACCATCACTTTACTCTTCTTAATACACTCTCTTTCCTACTTTATCATCATTTTACTCTTTTTAATATACCATCTCTCCTACTTTATCATTTACCCTACACACTCTATACTTACCCTACTACTTTATTATTAAATCTCGTGCCAAACCTTAAGGGGACTGATAAAAAAGAACGGAGGTAGTATTTATTTCACTAACAAATTTATATTAAATTATTTGTATGTACTCCGTAGCATGTTTGAAAAAAAATAGTGTATGTAATAATCTACTCATTATTTATTCCACTTACTCACTCCGTACAAAGTAAGTTTTAAAAACAAAAAATTAAAACAACATATCGGATTCATGAAATCCGTTTCTGAGCTTTCCCCAATCATATTCGGATTAGCTAACCCCGTTTCCCGTATTCTCAGAATCCCTAAAATTTTTCCCGTATTTTGGAAGTCCAAGCCACAGAATCCCGCCATTTGAGAAATCACCCTGTCAATTACTCTATACTTTTTTTTATTCAAATTGAAGAAACAAAAAAGAGTGAGTCAAAAAGTTGATTGTTACTCGGTTTGATAACCTTATTTTTTAGGGGTCTTTCAAATTGATAAACATTTTTATAAAAAAAAACATATATATTCAAGACGCTTTCCTATCAAAATACATTTCTCTCCATTCAATTGAAGATTCGATGCACTGTACCGTAAATTTAACTCTATTTTAATATGTAATTTTATTCAATAAGTTTTAATCCCTTTTAAGTGATTTTTTTGTGATTTAGAAACTTGTAATGTGGTTTCTAAATATGTAAACTTTCTCTATAAAATATAAAGTACATCTTATATTTTCTAAGGAATGCATTTATGTTGTTTTTTTTTTGTCCGAATGCATTTACATTGTTATTAACCTATCACCATAAACTACAAAAATAAACAAACCAAGCATTCCGGCTCAGCTGGTTGTGAGATTATCGTGCCTAGTGGGAGGTCTCGTGTTCGAATCCTGCTAGACACACAAGGATTGGAAACTCAATGGAGTGAGTTTCAGCCCTGATTACTCCAGGCTCCCCCACAGCCCCATCCCACAGAACCCCCTGGAGTAAAAGAAAAAAGAAAAAAGAAACTACAAAAATAAACATGATATATATGCGACGCAAGGAGGTTTGGGGCATGTCATTTTTAAAAATTTATCATATTATTTTTAATATATTTTTAATTTTAAATTTTGGTTTAAATTTTAAAAGGAACATCTTATATATTGGAAAGCAACAGTAGAAATTAATAAATTGAGAAGTGATATTCGAATACATATTAATTGAATTGAATGAAAAGTTTAAAATTGAAATAAACATTTCCGAGAGGGCAGTAGTAATGTATTACTCCGTATTTTACAATTGGAGAAAAGGGTCAAATAAGGTCTTCTACTATTATAAAATAGTCACATAAGACCATGTACTCAATAAAGTGTCATATAAGTACCTCTACTTGTAAAAAACAATCAAATGAGTCCTATTTCCTTTCATACTTTGTCCCCCAATCAAGTCAACCCCTTTCACCAGCCAAATGGTGCGGCTCCCCTTGCTATTTGCAAGACTAAGGTCGTGGGGTGGCCCCCACTTAAACGGGTGGTCATCCCTTTGTGTCCCCAAGTGTACACTTGGTCCCGAAAATTGTATTTTTCGGACTGTTTTAACTATATTTCATTTTATCGGGTCAAATGAAATATGTATCATTCTTCCAATTATTATTGGCTTTTAGGATGAATATACATCCCCCAACTTTTAATTTAGCGGTCTCCATAATTTATTATGGCTTTTATCTGTCAGTACACCGGTACCGATAAGTGGGCCTTATATGCCCAAATGGCTACTCACATAATTTCTATGGCCCAACAAGGATATCCACCATCATACACATATTATCTTGACCCAAACGAATATAATATGTGGTCCTGATAATATCGGGCGGCCCCCACTTCCAATGTGGGCTCCACGTGAATTTTACTGTTTACGTAAAAGAAATGGTAAAAATTTACAATCACGTAAAATGCGTTTATTCATTTCTCAGGGTTCAATACATAATTTTGATAAAGTACAAATACTTGGGGGTGGTGTTACATCCCAAATCACTCATCTCAAAAGTGTTCATCATGTCTCTCTTAAATTCTTCAATCAATTTTGAATTATTTCCTGTGACAATTAAATCATCAACATATAGAGAAACAATGAGAATGTCAGATTTACCTTGAGATTTGATGTATAGTGTAGCCTCGTTCTTACTCCTCCTGAAGCCTTGATGGGTGAAGTATCCATCAATCTTTTTATACCAGGCTCGTGGAGCTTGTTTGAGCCCGTAGAGCGCTTTCTTTAGATGAAAAACTTTTCCTTTTTCTTTGATGAATCCTTCCGGTTGCTCCACATACACTTCTTCTCTCAGTTCTCTATTTAGAAAGGCTGACTTGACGTCTAGCTGAATTTTCCATTCTTCTGAGCTGCAAGAGTTATGAGTGTTCTTATGGTGTCCATCCGGGCAACTGGAGCAAACGTCTCTGTGTAGCCAACTCCGGGTATTTGAGCATATC